CCACAAGGCGGGCGCCCCAGCAGAGAACCGGCAAGTGCGATTCTCTACATCCGGTGGGGGGGGCGGGCGGATGTCAGTTTGTGGGCTTTTCTAACTAGGTTTACCAGAACTCTGCTGAGTTTGAAAGGGTACCAATATTCTGGAGAGAACCCTCCCCCTCCCCGCCCTTCTGGGACAGACCTCTTCATGGGAGGGAGAACGGTGGCCACGCTTGAGGATGTGGGGCTCCTGGAAGATGCCCCAAAAGTTGACGCACACGGTTAAGTCTCCAGTCTTGAGCCAGGATGACAAGTCTAATCAATCATCAGTAGGACACATTTCCCATAGGACCACAAGGCTTCTCAGCAACTAAAGTCGCCAAGCTGGAACTCCTGTTTCTCTTCCACCTTTCGGAAGGTGGAAAAACCTTCAAGGTAAGTGCACCCCATTGAGAAGAACAGCAGTGTCCCTTTACCCCAGCGGGTGGTTCTGAATGGATCTGGTCCTCAATTCATCACATGGACAGGACAATCTGCTTTCATTTCCAGTGCTCTCAACTTTCAATCACACTATGTATCTTCTCTCAGATGATCATACTGTATTCTCAAATCTATAGTAAAAGAAGTGTTATTCTTCGAGTGAAAACCACAAAGAATTTTTGCAGTTTATTTTAGCAAAATAAATTATTTATTCTTCCTGGTGCCAGAAACCCACTGTATCAGTTACATGACTAACTCTCCAGACTTAAAACACTCACAATCAATATTTATGAACCCAGTGAAATTCCAACTCAGACCAAACTGAAACTCTGTCTGTACTGAGTACAATGTTGGTTGCCAGAGAGAAACTGGGGATAGGGAAAGAGAGAGGGAGTTTGATGCTGATTGTAATGTTATACATGTTGCTTCAGCAATCACCAATATATGTCTGGAGGTTGAGTCATGGCAACTGGACTTTTCGTTTTGGTTAGAGACATTTTGCTATTTGTCCAAGCAGCTTCTTCAGTACTTGGACAAGTAGCAAAACGTATCTAACCCAAAAGAAAAGAAGTCCAGTTGCCCTGACTCAACCTCCAGACAATTCCACCTGGATGACTGAGAATCTTCATAAACAATCACCAATATAATTTCCTCCCCAAATGGTGGAACAGGGAAGGGCTAGCCTTCCCTATGCATTAACAGACTTCTAGATGCCAAATGATGCTCTCAAACAGTGTTTCTCAGCAACTTTGATCCCCATATTTCCCTAGCCAGCTTAAAGATGATGATATGGGAGGAGCGCAAGGGAGATGAGGTTATTGCACAGCTGAAGCACGTAACACGGTGGGAAGCAGTGATGTAACGTGGATTCATCGGAGAAGTAAAATTTGCCACAAGGGAGAATAGATGAAGAACAGAATAGCTTTGTTAAGCTAGGATCTGAAGATGCACTTGGACTCTCAGGATTACAACTAAGGCCTATGTGGCAAGTACCAAATACGGGTGTGCCAGGAGAGATGATGTGTGTGCACGTGCTTCTCCAATGAATGCTAGTCGAACTCTCCTCTTTTGATGAGGTGATGTTATCCACCCGTGGTACAACTTTCTGGCTGGCTGCAGAGAAAATATTTCTCTGTGGAGCATACAGTACTGCTGGCCCCTTTTTCATTCACATATGCACACAAGCCTTCTCCTCGCACTGGAAACCTGCAAAAAGGACATGGAGTTACTATCTGCATTACAGTGGTAATTGAGGGCAGAAATTAGCATTACAGGAATGAGACTTCCAAGAAGATTCCCAGTTTTAGAGCATGGAGAATATCAGCCAACACTGTGCCTCCAAGATGCACTGGATCAACTTAATTATGAAGTCTGGAGTTCATAGGAGTCATGTCCAGCAAATCTGAAGTTTGGAGGACACATGACTGGGAAAAGCTGGGGTATAAATAAATGCTAACGCACATGCACACACACCAAGCAGAAAGCATCCATCTGAAGGCATCTCATTCTTGGAACAATGACACAGCATACTGTGGTCATATCCTCAGCTGCACAGAAGAGTAAAGGTCTCGCTTGGCAAGCATAAGTTAAATAGTAATTGAAACATGGCAGCTATTTCTAATTTCTGTTATCAGAAGAGATTTCAGAATATTTTTAAACTGCCAATGGTATCTAGAACCTGAGAGTTGACTAGCCGAACCTTAATGAAACTTGAAGTGCCTTCCAGAAATTGTTCCCAGAGTTCGCTGTACACTTTAAATCTGAATATTACAAGCTGTGAGCTTCAGTAATAGAAGTTTAGGTATGATATTTGGTTTCCATATAATCGCCATGAGTCTTTGATAGTTGTAATTTAATAATCTGAGCTATTAAATACCAAGGAAGCACATACGGGTTTTGTTGTTAGGTATCTGCTAAGCATTTCAGCAAGTCTACAGCATTTGGACTTTGAAGCATAAAGTGCAAGAGTAAAATTTCAGTTCAAAATTTCAGTGATTAACTGGAAGTTTAGGCAAGTTCCTAGCACCTCTGAAGTATGCTGAATCACTGAAATTCTGAACTGAAATTTCAGATTCACACTTTGTAATTCAAATTCCAAATGCTGCAGACTTGCTAAAGTGTTTGACATATACCTAATTTCAAATTTATTAGACTTTTGGCCATCTGACATCCCCTATAAACAATCTTAAAACATGACAAGTAACTTGGACAGGAATGAATGGTGCCATTTGGAATATGAAGCGTAGAGGTAGAATTGTGGGCAATACAGTCACATACTGGATTTTAACATGTAACCATACTATGGTTATTTGATTAAGACACTTGATTTGAAGGCCATTTGGTCAAATCTCCAAATCAAATCAGAGGTGGTTGATATACCACTAACACATACATTACAAGCCTTACCATGTTCACTCACATTTGCCATTTCATTATTACTTTGTTAATACCTTACAGAAACTGTCTTTCAGGAGAAAAAGCAAACTGCAATTGTGATTTATTTATTTATCAATCATATTTATAGAGCTGCCCATCTCACACAAAGTGACTCTGGGCGGTGTACAACAATTAATTCAATCTAATTAATTTCATGACCAACTGGACTGGGATCTTCCTCCCTGTCTACAAAAATATCAACCTTGGCACCACAACTGTCTGCTCTTGGAAGTGGTGCATCATCTCAGCCATCCTGAACATCTCAGTCCATCCCAGCTGGGCAACGGTACGGACCACCAGACGTTATGTACTGCTGCCTGAACAATTTTCTTCTTTCTTCCTCCCCTTTCCCTCCCCTTTATCTTTTTGGAGAGAGAAGCTTAGCCAAAAATTATCTTGATTTTTATTACTCTTCCAGCCATTCAAGCTGAAACATTATTAATGTCTATAAATGCTTCAAATAGATAAATAGCTATACACATAAACAAACAGACATACTTACTGATTTTTAAACTCTGTGCCATTGGACCATTTCCAAGCCTGTTTAAATTTTCTCGAGAGGCCAAACCAGTAATGAGAGGGACGCAAAAATTCTACCCAGAAATGCTAGAGGAAGGGAAATAATGTACAGTATAGTAAAACCCTGATTTAACAAACCAATTGGGGAAAGAAAGTGTCTGTTATTTTTGACTGTCTATTGAATTCTAAAATATATCATTTATATCAATTTACTTCATTTGTACAAGATCATAAAACTAATGTATATGTAACTGCCTTGTCAGGACTACTTCAGATACAGTGGGCTTGTCCATTATTTTGGAGAGATATCTATAAAGAAATTGGGACTGTTGCACCCAAAGTCCACTCAATGGAGGTCTATTAAGTCAAGCTTTTTACTGTAATGATATACACATATCTCTATTTAGATTTAGGATGCATTACACAGGATTCAGAAAAGTAAAAGTGAAGTTCAACAGGAATATATTAGTTTTTTTTACTCAAAATGATCCCCCTCAAATATTTAAGGTATCAATAGCTCATCTAGATAACAAAAATGTTCATAGCATCTTTTAGCAGACAGTGTATTTACAGTGGTACCTTGGTTCACGAATTTAATTCGTGCCATGACTCTGGTCGCGAACCAAATTGGTCGTGAACCGAATCAAATTTTCCCATAAGGTTCAATGTAAATACGGTTAATCCGTTCTGACCCCGCTGAATTTGGTCGCGACCCGATTTTTGATTGCGTCCCGAATCAAATTTCCCCATAAGGTTCAATGTAATTACGGTTAATCTGTTCTGAACCATATGTTTTTTTAAAAACCCCAAAAATATGACACAAAGTACAGTACAAAGAGAGAGAAAGCTAACCTCGCTCGACGCAACTTCTGGCGTGGAGGACCGGAAGGCGGGTGGGGAGGCGGTTACTTCTTGGAGGGAGAGTCCCCCCCCCTACAGGAAGCCGCGACCACATGTCACGGGAGGGAAAATGGCCACGGATCCTGTTCATCACCCGATGCGGAGTTCGCGAACGGAGGAAAAATTTTGCGACAGGAGCTGTTCGTGAACCGAACTGTTCGTGAACAGAAGCATTCGTGAACCAAGGTACCACTGTAAATACACTGTCTGCTAAAAGATGCTATGAACATTTTTGTTATCTAGATGAGCTATTGATACCTTAAATATTTGAG